TCAGAATACCTCAGTCCAATTGTCAATGACTTTTAGTTTGATTGTCCCTAACTTTCTCCAGCCTATCACGCCATCAACGCCTCTCCAGGTAGGCGGTGGTTGGGGATGCATAACACGTCCCCAGTGCCTCAGTTAAAGAATATTTAGTACCCCATAAATCAATTCGGCATCTTTACCTAGTTCCCTATCTCCGAATCCAAAGTTACTTACTTGTTGGTCTGAAAATACATGAGCAACGCTTCGAAAACTCCATTGACTGAATACCGGTAATCTGCGAATATCATCTGTTTGTAATGGCCATGTTTCACAGTACAGAGCAAACTGCTGCTTGGTAAATTTTTTTTTTCGGTTCGCAGAAAAAATATTTTGCTTACGATACAATTGACACAAGTTAGCAAAAGCCAATGTAGATTTCTGAGTTCGTGCTTATATTTCGTCATACACCAAATAAATGAGCTTTAAGTATGAACTCCAGTATATCTAGTTCGTTTAAATCATACTTTGCTTACTTCTATTTGGGAATCTTAGTCAGTCAGCTACAACGTAGAATTTCGTACGTACGTACGTCACTTCAAGTTACCATACCGCTTTAGCACGAACTGATAGAATTGTCAATTCAAATTCCATAGTGGTAAAAGTAGTAGGAGTATTAATCGTAATGAAGAATATTAGGGTTCGAAGATATTATTCAGGAAGTTTATGCCAGTGAAATGAATTTTAAAAAAAAGAGAACAATAGTGATGAGAAATTCGGAAGGTTACAATTTGAGAGAACACAAAGAATGAATGCACCTGTGCCATTACAAATGGTTTTGAACGATGTCATTCAGAGTGTCTAACCAATGGCTACTACCGTTGCGCAGACCCTAACCAGATAGTCTACACTTACCAACATGGCCCAGTCCACTTGTCAGTGCCATATATTGGCTTGGCCACCCCTAGCTTTCTTCCAGCCTATTCTTACACCACAAAACATAGCTCGATGAGGCAGTTGGTGGTTCGGCACACGTAACACATGTGCACCCACCTCAACTGATAAAGTTTCACTACTTCATCTATTAATCTGCCATCCTTAGCTAGTGCCCGTTTCCTAACAGTATTATTGCCTACGCGATGGTCCCAAGACGCACGAACAACGCTTTAAAGACACCTATGATCAAAAACAAGCAACCTACGAATATGTTCCGCTTTGACTGGCCATGTTTCACAGCCATATAGTAGGACTGGACGAACTGATGCTCAGTAAACTCGTCCTCTGGTTATCAAAAACTAGTCGAACCTTATGAACCTTATGAAAATCGCAGGGTTCATTTTCTTCTTTTTCGAGTACTTCAGGAACATTAAATGAAGAAACTTTTTGCAACAGCATAACTTATAGACGGTGATCAGCAGCCTAGTTAGTGTAATTTTATTGTTTATCAGTGTTTATCAATGATTTTCTCTGAAATCGTTGTCCGCGAATTCTGATGAAAAACCATAATCTCGAAACCTAACCTTTTCTTGTGTTGTGACCACTAATCGTTGATACTAAATAATCATTTTAATGTATCAAAAATTCATGGAAATGGCATTAGTAATAATTGTATTCTAGATATCTCAGAACACTATCGTTTTCGCAACAAGATTCAAGGTTCTTGGATTTAACCCCATTTAAAGTTGCATTCACTGACTGCTGGGTGACAAAGAGAAATGCAACAAATGTCCAGTGCTCTCTAGCTTTTCAGAATTTTTCGACAAATGTCATTTCGTGACGGAGATGTCTTCAAATTAAACTATTCCCCATAAACACTTATTAGGCTGATGTACCTATTATAATTTGCTTCTCTTTACGTTTGTTTTGATATCATCGTTTTATGGTATTTCTTCTCAAGTTCTGTCGAAAAGCGATAACTTACTCACATTCATCGCCCCACATCACGAATCAGTAAATCCGTATATTTATTTTAAACAAATAAATTTTGGTAAAAATGTACTCATACTGCGATCTTATCTGAAGCTGCTGATTAAATTATTCCCTTTATGTATGTTGAATCCTGCTGCTACTGAGGCTACTGATACACTGGTCTTCTCTCGCATTTGTTGTTGCGTGTGCGATAGAAGAGCCAGATCGTCTGTGAAGTCCAGATCTTCCGGCTGCATCTTGTTTGTCCACTGTATACCGCGCTTCCTCCCAGATGTTGACGTCCTCATAATCCAGTCGATCACCAGGAGAAAGAATAAGGGTGATAGTTGGCAGCCTTTTCTGAAACCAGTCTTCACCTCGAACGAGTCTGTCAGCTGTCCTCCGTACACGATTTCGCCGTTTGATCCATCATAAGAATTCCTGGAACCTACTGCTTAGGGCTATCTTGAATTCGTTGAGCTTTCCAGTATCCCGAAGAAAGGCTGTATTAAACTTTTGTGATGTCATCCGCCCCGTTTTCCAGCGCTTCTTGAGTTTCAGTTTCACTTACGTGACTAGCAAGTGGTCACCTGAGGCTATATCAGCTTCTCTCTTGGCTCTCTTATCCTCCATGGTCCTTGTGAACCTTTTATTGATACAGATATGGTTGATGATGATTATTTTGTAGGATGCCTTGATTATCCTTCGCCCGTGAGATTCCCATCCTCTCTGTGCTTTATGAGCTTGTTTGGATGGTATCGGCGCAACTCCTTGTGTATGTGGAGCATTTTTTAGTCATGATCGGAGTATAGCAGCAGCTCTCCTCAAGCTGGTCTTTGTTGTCTAATTTACGTCCAATGTGTTTTACTGATTCCAAGCACGTCCAGGTTGTATCTTTTCATTTCTGCAACAACTTGGAATTGTCTTCCGGTCTCCTATATTGTTCGAACATTCCACTTACCTAAAGGAATGGTTGCTGTGGTTTTGAGAAGAGGCATCGGCCTCTTGACTTCCGAAAGAACTCGGCTTTCATCATGAAACGTCATAACTCTTCTAAATGAAGATCTTCTAACTCCTAGGGTAAAGTTTAAATGTTTAGAATCATTTTTTATAGTTAGCGTCTTTTTAGTGAGTTAGTTTTCTACGGGATGTGGTCGCCAACCTCAATCCCAACCCGCCTTCTTTATCCGGCTTTGGGA